AAAAAAAAAAAAAAACACCTACTCTAACAATAAAGGGTTTCTGGCAGATACTTTCACTGTATCTATTTCACCCAGCGACCCTGGTACCAGATAATTCTCTGAGGTAGCTAGTTTATCACCTGAGAACTTTAAGAACAAGAGGAAAGACACAATTTTTTTCTTCACTTTTCTCAGCTCTCTGTTACATACAGGCATGCTGAACACACGAATACGTAACAATCAGCCACTGTATACTTCAAAGAAAGAGTATGGGGGGAGGAAGAGGGAGGAAAATACAAAGAAAAAGCAAGAGGAGGAAAATGAAATCTGCCTTGAAGAAAAATGACGACTTAGGAAGTGAAGTTATTCATGGCTACAGAAAAAGAACCAAGATCCTCCATTTATTGTCAAGCACCTGCAAGCAATGCAGCCACATCTTCCTTCCACGAATATCCGTTGAGTCCTGCCAGTGTGTTAGCTTGTGCGCGGCGGCGAGCGCAGCAGAACGGCACCAATGAAGACTCGCTTGCTTTCACCTCACTCTTAAACTTTTCCAAATCATGGTGCTTAGGCGGCAGGGTAAATAATGGATTCGTCACTATTTTATTTTCAAATTCTGCCTATAGTACCTATACCATGTTCTTTATTTCCTTAATGCTAAAATATATATAAGATTTTGTATTTGGCTCAATATCAGTGTACTGCACCTCTTAGCTATTATTTCATTAGAAACTTAGGAGTTACTCTTTTTTTTTTTTTTAAAGATTTTATTTTATTTATTTATTTGAAAGAGAGAGAATGAGAGAGAGAGAGAGAGCACATGAGAGGGGGGAGGGTCAGAGGGAGAAGCAGACCCCCTGCCGAGCAGGGAGCCCGATGCGGGACTCGATCCCAGGACTCCAGGATCATGACCTGAGCCGAAGGCAGTCGCTTAACCAACTGAGCCACCCAGGTGCCCCTTAGGAGTTACTCTTACCACAGGCTACAGCCTGCTTTTTCATCTAAAAGGTTCTATCATAACAATGCCTCTTAAGGCCAGTTTTAGACATAGCACTATGGAAGGAAATCAGGTCTCATGAGAAGCTGAGCTCTGCCACATGAAAAGTCCTACAGAGGAGGTCACCCCTAAGGAGTCAGTTGGCATAAAATGAATATAAGCAGATTGGTCAGCATTTTTTTCCCCTAGATGATCAAAGTCTGAAGGAAGAATCTGGAAAAATGATAATATCTTTCATCACTATTTCATGTCTTATCTACTTAGTCATTTTACTAGACAGGAAAGAAATATGAACCATGTGTGTTTTTCAAGGAAATAGCTGTAGGACAGAGTCAAGCATTATTATGAATTAACCTAATAACTCAGCATTCCCACCAATACTGGAATATTGATATTATTCAGCAGAAAGCAGTGATTGGAATGAATAAGCATTTCCCAAGTGCCAACCTCAGTAGTAAACTAATATTTCATACAATGCCAGGAGCCACCAGAAGCTGGAAGAGGCAAGGAAGAATACACCAGAGCCTTTGGAGGGAGTAGGGCCCTGTGGACACCTTGATTTTGGACTTCTGGCCTCCAGAACTGTGAGTGAATTAGTTTCTATTGTTGTAAGTCACCAAGTTTGTGGTGGTATGTTATGGTGGCCCTAGGCAACAAATACAAATAAAGTACTATTACTAGCTCCATTTTACAGGTGAGGAAATTGAGCTATAGAAAGGATGCCTGATTTTCCCAG